TATATATATATATATATATATATATATATCATCAACTGCAGTTGGCAAGTAGAAGATAAGTTGGGGTTAACAACTTGTGAAATCATAAACCGTTAGAGAAGAATGTACGAAAGTCTCAAATTTGTGGGTGAGTTTATTCATCGCTGGTAGGATATCACGTTGGAGGTGAAGCCAACGGGTTCATCGCTTGTAGGATATCACGTTGGAGGTGAAGCCAACAGGTGCATTTGGTTTCATACGTGCGTGTGTGTGTTCGTACACGTGTGTAGAGAGAGAGAGAGTGAGAATGATACAAATAAATGTAAATATAATATAATTTAGAATAAGTTACAAAGTTATTTTGTGGTATGAAACATGGTAAAGTAAGGTGACGTTTGTTTTTTAAGAGGTGCTGAAGTCTGAATTCACTTCTGATTTTTAAGAGGTGGTGCTGAAATCTGAAATCTGAATCAGTTAGACTGTTTGTTTTTTGAGTCTGAAATCTGAAGTTTGAAGATGAGAGATCGAGAGTTGATATGGATCGACAGTTGACAAAGTTGAGAGATGAGAGATCGAGACAGAAGAGTTGATCTAGAGAAATCGAGCGCAAAGAGATCGGAGTAGGTAGGCGACAATTTGAAATAAGAGGTAATAAGAGGTTTCGCAACCACTTAAATTTTCAGACCTAATAAGAGCTTTTAAGCTCTTAATTGAAAAAAAAAAACAAACACACTGAATCCTCTTATGTCTGACCGATTCAGACTTAAGAGGACATTAAAAGTTTTTTTATTAAAAACAAACAGCCCCTACAAAATAGTAAAAAGATTATTTTACCTTCATAATTAACAAACAAGTTGCACAGCCAAATCTAATACAAATTGCATAAGTAAAGGGTTATTTTATAATAAATGAAGATGAATGATAGTTATGTAATAAATGAAAACCTCAGGGACCAAATCTGTAGTTTACTCTAAAATTAATAATAATTCTTAATAATTAATATTAGTTAATAGCTTGAAATTGATATTTAATTAACAACGTATAATTAATATATATTAATAAATAATAATTAATATTAAGGGTATAATTGAAAGAAAATGACAAAAAAACTAATAAAGTTTATTAAAAAACGTTACTTTAAATTTTAATAAGCTTGATTATAAGTTACTTTTTTACCATCCAAATAAGGAAACTGTGAAAAATTAAAAAAAACTAGTTTATATTTATCAAACATGATCAAAGTTTATTGAGCTTAATAGTCATTTGGACCGACCATAAAATAATTTGATTGATCTGTTTGAAAGTGTTAATCCTCTCTCTGAGTGATTTGATGATTAACCATACAAAGTAACTATCTCTGTATTCAGTTTCAGCTATCATCACTGAGTCTGTTCAGTGATCACTTAACATGTACTGTAATTTCTTCAGAGACAAGCATCCTTCAGGAAGGCAAAACTCGGAGATAGAAGCTGAAGGTAGAGACTAGCAAGTTCGTGATCTAAAGCAGTTTTTAGTGATAACAAACTTGTCTACACAAGTGTGAAATCTACACAAGATTCAATGAAGACCGAAGAAACCTTAGGGTTATTCTAGTGTCAGGGATTAGATGAATATTGTTGAACAAGATTAGTTTTTGTCTTGTCCTTCTGCACATAAAAAAAAACTCATACCTTTCAAAGTAAAGTATGGTACAGAGTCACTCTATTATCTCCAAGAATGCTTACCTACTTTATGAAAGAAGACTGTTCATATACGGTCAAAAACCTGTATATTTGCAACAAAGTACAAGCTCACCTCTTGAAGTTTGCCACGTGCTTTTGTACCCTTTTGACTTGCACTTAATGCAATGGAT